TCTTCTTTGTAGTTTTAGAGTAGTCATGAGGTCCTGGCCCTGTGTTAGGAATTGGGGTATGTTTGCCCACAACCCCAGGATTAACAGTGCTTTGACTCCTGCTCTGTTGTGTGTTTACTGTATATTCTGTGTTGAAACTTAAATGATTTAGTACTCTTCTCACTGGCTTATGTAATTTTTTGACTTTTAATTATTTCCCTTCAGTATTCAAAAGATCATTCCTCTTTTGTTTCTAACTTATTCTTTAATTTAGCTTGCCAAATCACTTCATTTTGGCCTCACTTTGCCCATTTATAGTAGGAGGAGTTTAATTGATTCCTCTACTTTTCCAATTCACAAGTGCTAATCTATTAGGAGAACATAAGTGGAGAGTTGTGGTATGAGGGATAGAAGAGGAAGGGAAGAAAGAAAAGGAACCTAAGAAGCATCTTCTGGCATTAGTCATTAGTTGTGAATAGACTCTTTTCATTTGTAATGCATCATTCTGTTATTCATTTAAGGAAAGAGCCAATAAACTTTTTCGTAACGAGCCAGATGGTAAATATTTCACTCTTTATGGGCCAGAAGGCCTATGTCACTATTCAACAGTGCCTTTGAAGCACAGAAGTCACAGACTCCATGTAAATATTGACCAAGATGTTATTCCAACAAAACAGTCCCATTGGTAGTTTTCAAAACCCTGAACTTTAAAGGGTTGTTCTTTAAAGGATAATTTTGCAGGGAGCAATGTATGTGACTTTGTAGGGGCCTAAAAGGTGTGTCAGATATAATTAGAGATTTTTTTCACTTTAATTTCCACTCTGGGGGTGTGTGTGCATTGTATTGGGCATTGAATTCAGAGGCACTCTACCTCTGTGCACGTCTTCAGCCCTTTTAGCTTTTATTTTCAGACAGGGTGTTGCTAAATTGCCCAGGCTGGTCTTGAACTTGCTATCCTCTGCCTTAACTTCTGGAGCAGCTGAGACTATAAAGGTGTGCTACAACCCCCAGCTTAATTTCCAGTCTTTTGTGCCCTTTGCTGGTTTCCTTGTTGGTTTTGTCCCCCCCCCTCTATCTCTTTCTCTCTCCCTCTCCCCCCTCTCTCTCTCCCCTCTCTCTCTCTCCCTGTCTCTSCCTCACTCCTCTCTCTCCCTCACTCCCTCTCTCTCTCCCTCTCTCTCTCTGGTACTGAGGATTAAACCCAGGGGTGCTCAACCACTGAGCCTCATCCCCAGCCCTTTTTTAGATGTTATTTAGAGACAGGGTCTTGCTGAGTTGCTAAGTGCCTCAGTAAGTTACTGAGGCTGGCTTTGAACTCACAATCCTCCTGCCTCTGCCTCCTGAGCTGCTGGGATTACAGGCAAGCTCCATTGTTCCTGGCTCCTTGCTGTTTTCAAGGAAATAGAGAGCTGGAGGACTGAAGCCTATACTAAGTAGTTATTTTTTATGAGGTATAAACCCCAAGCTAGAGTGAGACTGTTTGGGAATGAGATCCAATCTGTGTGATACAGGTGGTGTGGGAGATGCTGCTGCAATAGCATAGGGACTTGTTTAGGAAGAAGAACCCAAGGACTTTAGAATTTTGATAGATTTTGTTTGGAATCAAGGTCTTGCCACCTCAGTAACTGACTCCCCCTTTATTATGACTAACTTCATGTTTTTGTTTGTTTTTAAAATTGGCTTCCCTTTTTGAGCCCCATTATATTATTTATAAAGTTATGGGTATCCCGTGGGTGTGGTCATGCACATATATGATCCCAGCTACTTGGGAGACTGAGGCAGGAGGATCCAAGTCATTAATAAATAAGGAAGGAGAACAAGGAAGCAAACAAGCGAATGAGTGAGGAAGCAGGCAGAATGGCGATGTAGCTCACTGGTATATGGTTCGTCTGGATTCAATCCCTAGTACCACCAAAAAAAAATAAAATAAAATGGATATTGTTTTTTAAGTTGCAAATTGAAGTGATTATTGGAGATTCTTGGATGGCAGTTGGCTTAACTTACCTGGTATATAGTAACTCTTACTACCTCCTTTCATTTCTTTGGTCTTTTTTCTAGTAAAAATGTCATTGGTGTTTGAAAAACTTAGATGGATATATAATGGGAATTTATTGAAGCATAATCAACTTTCCTCTGAACATAAATTAATTGCCATTAACTCTCATAGGTATGAATGTGTATTCATTCCAAGATGTATTTTTCGATTATTTCTTTTTTTAACCTAAATGGATTTTTCAAACGTTATTATTTGGGAGAAATAATTACTCGGCTTGTGGTTTTTAATTTATTTTGAAATAATTGCTTGGGAAAAATCTCTCCACTTCAGGTCAATTAGAGATTTATTGCATACCATGGAAAAGTTAGAAAAATTCCAGTGATTTTCATGTTGTAACTAGCCCCATAATTTTATTAAGAATAATGTAGGTATACAATTTTAATAACTTTCAGCCTTTAATATTACTTTTAAATAAAGTAAAAAGTATATTACTAGTATTTACTGCTATGAAATTACAACACTTACTAGTAGTAAAAAGCAACTATCTGAAGCATCTTGCCCTAATAAAAGGTTTTATGGGGGTTTATTTCCATAAGTGCTAAGGAGCGGGTGTTTTTTGTGATACTAGTGCTTGCCTTTTACCCTTTCTTGTTCCTTTTTTTAACATTTATTTTTTAGTTATAGGTGGACATAATACCTTTATTTYATTTTTTTGTGGTGTTGGGGATCGAACTCAGTGCCTCACACATGTTAGGCAAGTGCTCAACCACTGAGCCACAACCCCAGCCCCCCCCCCCATTTCTTCTTGATTTCAACTTTTGGGGTATTTTGTTGCTTTGGACTCCTCCTGGGCTTATTGCTTTCCTTTTATTGTAAGAATATCAGTAATATCAGTAATGCCACATTCACCTGAGGGCAGGAAACAGCTTCCAGTGAGGTCATCATAACTTTATGAAATGCCTTTTGCCTCCTGGGTAGACAGTGCCTTCCATTACACATTAGCTGTGTTCCCAAAAAGCTTACCTACAGTGTGGTAAAATGGTTATAGTATGTGAAGTATATTAAAACTGGGACAAAGTGTGCTGGGAATGTAGGTCAGTGGTAGTGCACTTTCATGTCCCTGAGTTCACAATTGTCAGTATTAACAGAACAAATATTGCTACCACCAACACACACATATTTACTGGGGCAAGATTTTTTTTTATTTTTTTAAAGTTGTAAGATGGATACAATATCTGTATTTTATTTATTTTTATGTGGTGCTGAGGGTTGACCCCAGTACCTCACGCATGTGAGGCAAACGCTTTACTACTGAGCTACAGCCACAGCCCTGGGACAAGGTTTTATAGGGAAATTTTAATAGACATTTTTTTCTACCGTTAATTCAAAGAAATAATGTTATGAAGTTGTTCTTCTGTATCCATGGATTCTGCACTTCTGTGCTTTTGTCCAACTGTGACGAATCTGGATTCATCCTACTGTTGATCCTGCAACTCAGAAAGCCAAAGCAGGAGAATTGCATGTTTGAAGCCAGCCTTGGAAACATAGACCCTGTCTCAAAATATAAATGTTTGAGGGGGCTGGGATTGTGGCTCAGCGGTAGAGTGTTCGCCTAGCGTGTGTGAGGCCCTGGGTTTGATCCTCAGCACCACGTAAAGATAAATAAAGGTATTGTGTCCAAGTACAATTAAAAATGAATGAATGAATGAATGAATGAATGAATGAATGAATGTATGTATATTTGAGGATACAGCTCAGTGGTAGAGTGCCCCTGAGTTCAATCCTTAGTACTTCGGGGAGAAAATTGCAAAATAGAAATTGCATATCTACTGAACATGTTCAGTATTGTTAAGGGGATAACAATTAACTATTTATATAAAATATGGATTATGTTGGATATTATAAGTAATGTGTAAATGATTTGAAACATAGGAGAGGATATGCATAGGTAATATGCAAATGTGATATTATTGTATATTAGGGATTTGAGCACCCACAGATTTYGTTATCTGTGGGGATTCCTAGAACCAACATCCCACAAATACTGAAGGATAACTGTATTACTGTCCTATCTTTTGTGTGTGTATGTGTATGTGTGTTTATGGGGATACCAGGGATTGAACTCAGGGGCACATCCCCAGCCCTGTTTTGTATTTTATTTAGAGACAGGGTCTCACTGAGTTGCTGAGGCTTGCTTTGAACTTTCGATCCTCCTTCCTCAGCCTYCCAAGCCGCTTGGATCACAGGTGTGGACCACGATGCCTGGTTTACTCTCCTATCTTTTGCATGTATTTTTTATGACATTGTGATATTGAAATACATTGAGATATTTATGTATTTTGTTATTCATATTTCTAAAGTGAAACTGCAATCCTGGTGGTAAGTGCTTTGGAAACTAATCTGGTATGCTGATTAGGTAAATCTATCTCAGTGTCTATCTAATATTCTGTATATTCCAGAGAGATTTTATTCGTTCTTTTATTTATTTATTCATTCTTTGCAGTACTGAGGATTGATCCAAGATGTTCTTCACTGAGTTATATCCTTATCCCTTTTTATTTTTTAATTTTGAGACAGGGTTTTGCCAAGTTGCCCAGGCTGGCCTTGTACTTGCCGTCCTTCAGCCTCAGGCTCCTCAGTAGTTTGGGATTACAGGATTATGTGCCAGTGCACCTGGTTTAGAGAGATGTTAGTTAAAACAATCCATCTACATTTTAATGTTAGGTTTATTTGGACTGGCTTGGTCACTATAGGATATTAGCTTAAATTTTCAAACTTTTCCTTAAGATTGGGTGGCTGTGTGTATGGTGTGTGTATGTGTAGTGTGTATGTGTAGTAATCACACTTAATTACACTTATTGTGATAAATCATAGCAAATTGTTTTGTGCCTTTCATAGTGTAAGCCCAAATCTTTTTTATGTGGTTTCCCATCTTGTTACTTTTGGGAGTGTGAATATGGTTTCAGGAAAACAGTGAATTCTCCTGCAGCTTTTTAGTTAGTATTGAACTTATTTCCTCTTTTAGCTGTGCGATCAGAGAAGAAACGCCTCAGGAAGCCCAGCAAGTGGCTTCTGGAATATACAGAAGAATATGATCAGATATTTGCTCCTAAGAAAAAAAAGAAGGTACAGGAACAGGTACACAAGGTATGTGACAGTGGTTCAACAAACTTGGGCTTCTTATTTTGCCTTCAGCATTGTATTTTATCTTCATGAGGCAGTAAGCTCCTGAACTGGGATCTTGATCTTTCTTTCTTTCTTTGTTTTTTGATTTTTAATCTTTAGCATCTAGCACAGTACTTTGCATTTATCAATTATGTAAGAATTATATCACTAATTCTTCATGTTGTATATCTGTCTATATATTTCCCTGTTTTTTTTTTTAGTACTGGGTATCAAAACCAGGGGCAGCTGGGCAGGGTGGTGGCCCATGCCTATAATCCCAGTGGTTYGGGAATCAGCAAGAAGCAGGAGGATCACAAGTTCAGATCTTGCCTCAGCAACTCAGTGAGGTCCTAAACAACTTAGCTAGTTTTTGGCTCTAAATAAAATAACAAAAAAGGGCTGGAGATGTGGCTCAGAGGTTAAGTGTCTCTCGGTTTAGTCCCTGGTACCCAAAATAAAACAAAAGAAAACCAGGGGCATGTTAGGTAAGCATTCTTAACACTGAGAATGTCTGTCTGCCTGCCTTCCTTTCCTTGCTTTTCAAAATTCCCTTTTTGGGATTGAACCCAGTGGTGGGGCAGCAGGCAGGCAAAGGTGGGGTGGGTGCACTCTGCCATTGAGCTACATACCCAGCCTTTTTTATTTTTCATTTTGAGACAGGGTCTTRCTATTTTGCCAATGCTGGTCTCCAACATGTGATCCTACTACCTCAGCCTTCTGAATCCCTGACTGAGATTACAGGTGTATGCCACCACACCCTGCTCTGTGTATATAAGTATTTTTCCCTTCTTAGCTATTGAAGACTGTTTAATGACTTAGGAATATTGTTATCATATGGTGTTGAGTAAACTGAATTATTTTATTTTTTTCGTTTTGCAGCATAACATTTATTTTTATTAAAACATTCTTAAAATTCTTCAATTTGTGTACTTACTTTTATTCTAAAAATTTGTTTCTTTTAAATCTTTAATTTTATTGCTGTTTTGTGTAGTTTAAAATTATTTTCCGAATAATTCTCATTTTCCATTTTTTTTTCCTGTGAAGCAGTAACTCCTCAACTTTTGCTCTACATCTGGGATGACTCCACTCCATCCACAGATATTCTTTTTTTTTTTTTTTAATGTGTTGTAATTAGTTACACATGACAGTACAGTGACCTTGACGTATCATACATTTGAAATAGATGGGATATAATACCTCATTTTTCTGATTAAACTGAATTATTTTAAAGTCATTGAACGTATTTTATTTTTTGTTTTGATTTTATGCCTCTAGGAATCAATCCCACAGCACTGCACATTCTAACCCATGCCCTCTACTACTTAACTACATCCCCATCTAGAGAGGCTTTTTGACAGCGTATCCCTAAATACTTTAATATGCATCTCTGAAAAATAATTTTCCTTTATAATCATTTTAACAGTWTTATGTCTTATAAGATCAGCTTAGCTAATATTGGCCTATGGATGTCTCTTTTCTAGATTTATGACTGCTTCCTCACAACCTTCACTTTTTTGTTTCTCTATTACCTATAGTCCCTTTAAGGGGAAGGTAGAATATTTAATTTATTGGTGATATTTTATATATTGCATGGCATTAGAAGGTATAAACCATTAACTTGTCCATTTTGGTGACTCATTCCTTTAAGTTTTATTTATCCCTTTTGATCATGAAGCAGAATGTGTGTAATTACTTTGGTTTCAAAGAGATGTCCTATTCCTCATTACCCATTTCTCTTATGTTAAAACATAAAAATAAAAAAAAGTTGAAGATCCTTGGCTTTGTCAGTAATTTTGTTAGGGTTCACACARTGAAAGCTTTGAGATTTTATAATTTCTTCTGCTTTTAGCTAGCCATCCCTTTTATTATCTGAATCACTATTGTGCTTCTTTCTTTCCTTGTAATTACTAGTTACGATTAAGGAACTTGTTAGTAGTTGTGTTAACTGGTGACATTAGCAGAACATTTTTTCTTTTCTTTTTGGATTATTGTCATGAACTTTGGAGTTTTTGTAGCTTCTGTGTATCATTAAACTCCATTTTTAAAAAATTGTAAAATAGATATACCACATTAACTAACTTCAGTGTACAATTCTGTGACATTAAGTATGGTCACATTGTAATACAACCATCATTACGAGCAAAGCATTTTTATATCCTCAAAATGAAACTGAGTACCCAGTAACCAATAGTTTCCCTTCCCCCTCAACCCCTGCAATTAAATTCTACTTTTTGTCCATAAATTTTATTTTTCTACATATCTCAGATTAGTTAAATCATGGAACACTTGAAATTTTGTCTTTGGCTTATTTCCTTTAGTATATCCTCAAGGATCATCCATCTTGTATGTGTCAGAATTTCATTCCTTTTTGAGTGCATTATTGTATTTGGCAAATTATAGCAATTTTGGCTTGGAAATTCTAGTGTTTCTTTTTTTCCTCTAAGGTAAGTTCCCGCTGTGAAGAGGAAAACCTTGTAGCCCGATGTCGAACTAGTGCTCAGAACAAGCAGGTGGATGAGAATTCTTTGATTTCAACCAAAGAAGAGCCTCCAGTTCTTGAAAGGGAGGCTCCATTTTTGGAGGGTCCCTTGGCTCAGTCAGAACTTGGAGGTGGACATGCTGAGTTGCCACAGCTAACCTTGTCTGTTCCTGTGGCTCCAGAAGTCTCCCTACGACCTGCCCTTGAGTCTGAGGAATTGCTTGTTAAAACACCAGGTAAGGTGGGGTTGGAGTCTCAGTATATAAGTGGATATGATTGGACACAACAAATTTTTTTTTTTTTTTTTTTTACTGTGTTTTGATATAAAGCTGACATTTAAACTACCCATTTTTGTCCTGGGATACTCCTAAAATAGTGGTTATTTTGATGTAGTTTCTGACCCTGAACTAATTTATGGTATATCTTCAAGAAGACATATTTTTAGAAGTTCCTTGCTTGTTCATCATTGTTTTTCATGGTTATTGATCAGCCACCATTTGAATAAACAGGGAGGGATAGCCATCGGACATTAGTGGAATAAGTGCTTGAAGTCTATGCTGTGTTTACCAACTCCACCAATTGCTATGTTGCTTAGGAAATCTCTGAACTTGTTTTCATATGTATAAAATGAGGATCATAATGTAATAAAATGTATAATGTTATCATATTCCTGAGTACATAACATAGTAAGGAGTTAACTTAATTACTAGTTGCTTATCTTTTTATCACCCTTTCATACTAGGAATTTAATCCAGGGGTGCTCTACCACTAAGCTATATCCGTAGCCCTTTTTATTTTTCATTTTGAGACAGGGTTTTGGTAAGTTACCCAAGCTGGCCTTGAACTTGAAATTTTCCTGTTTSCAGCCTTTGTAATAACAGGGATTACAGATGTGTGCTATTCTGTCTGGCTCATTTTATCATTCTGAACACATGTTACCTAGGGAGAGTTAGCTATAAATGTATTATCTCATTTACCTTTTCACCATTGAATGTTTTAGTCAGCTCAGATATGTGAAGAATTCTCTTGTTTGCTTTTAAATTTTGGATATATACTTTTTACATTCCCATAGTAGCTTGTAAGGTTTTCTCCTTCAAATAAAGGGGGCAAAAAGAATCCTTATTATGCTTATAAGGCAGAATCAAAGGATTTCAGTTTAATTTAATTTACAATTTTTTTTAAAAGCCAGTTTTTTGTTTGATTGTGCTATGACACTCAGGCTTTTTTTTTTCTTTTTAATATTTWTTTTTCAGTTTTCGGGGGACACAACATCTTTATTTTCATGTGGTGCTGAGGATCAAACCCAGTGCCCCACACATGCCAGGAAAGCGTGTTACCGCTTGAGCCACATCCCCAGCCCGACACTCAGGCTTTGATCATGTCCTTGTGCAGTGCTGTGCTGGGGTTTTGAACCCAGTGCCTTGCACATGCTAGGCAAGTGCTATACCACTGAGATACATCTGTAGCCCCAAAAGATTTCTTTTTCTTTCTTTCTTTTTTTTTTTTTTGGTAGTACCAGAAATTGAACCCAGAAGGACTCTGCCATTTAGTTATAACCCCAACCCTTTTCATTTCATTTTTAGACAGAATCTTGCTAAGTTTCTGAGGGTGGCTTTGAACTTGTGATCTTACTGTTTCAGCCTTCTATATTATTGGGATTATAGGTGTACACCACCACTCCTGGCCCCAAAAAAGATTTTTAAAAGAATAGGAAAAGCCCTTAACCCTTTTTTGTGCTAAGCCTTATTACTATGCTCTTGTATATAATTCTTAGGAACACTCCACTAAAATAAATGTCTCTTATTTATTTAGGTGTAGAGCAAAAATTAAAATTGTGGTCCATTTTAACCCACAATCCAGATTTTATTTTACTTTTTTCCTCTTTTGATCTTACCATTAAATAATTGTTGTAAATGCAGTTCAATTCTTTGACATCTCCCTTGGTTTTTCTATGATTTCAGGAAAAAATATCCACACACAAGTACATCCTCAAATGAGTTTGTGTCTTCATTGAGAGCTATTTGCTTGTTTATGTATTTATATATATATTTTTGGACACAATGCCTTTATTTTATTTTTTATGTGGTGCTGAGGATCGAACCCAGGGCCTCATGCATGGTAGGCGAACACTTTACCACTGAGCCACAACCCCAGCCCTTGCTTGTTTATTTTAAGTAAAATTTTATTATAAATAAATTCCCATCCTGCCTCTCCCCATAAGATGCTGAGAAAAACACGAACAGTGTTGTCATTCTGTTGTATACAGATTCTTTTCAAAATTAGCTTGTGCCCAGTTTCTAAATCATTTAATGAGAAAGTATGTGTATTTTAGGAAATTATGAAAGTAAGCGTCAAAGAAAACCAACAAAGAAACTTCTTGAATCCAATGATTTAGACCCTGGATTTATGCCTAAGAAGGGAGACCTTGGCTTTTCTAAAAAGGTATGTTATTTCTGTTAATCCTAAAAAGGTTTAAATCCAGAAAGTGTGGAATTTTAAAAAATAATCTTTAATTACTGTTAACATTGATATACATAATAGAATAGCACCTTTTATTTGTGGTTTCAATTTCCACAGTTTGAGGTGACTGTGGTCAACTGTGTCTGGAATACCAAATTGAAAATTCTAGGAATATACAATTCCTAAGTTTTAAATTGTTCAGGATTTTGAGTAGCAAGATAAAATCTCACACCATTCCACTCTGTCTTATTCTGTTTATGAATCATCCATTTGTCCAACATATTCACACTGTGTACTTTTCACCTGTGGTTCACCTAGTAGCCATGTTACCTGATTAGCTATCATGGTATTGTAGTGTTTGTATTCAAGTAACTTTTGTTGTACTTAATAATGGTCCCAACATATAAAAGTTGTGATGGCTGGCAGTTCCAAAATGCGGAAGAGAAGCCGTGAAGTGTTTCCTTTTAAGTGAAATGGTGAAAGTTCTASATTTAATAAGGAAAGAAAAAAAGCTTAAGTTCACATTTCTGAGATCTGTGGTAAGAATGAGTCCTCTATCTGTCAAATTATGAAGAAGAAAGAAGAAATTTATGCTAGTTTTGCTGTCATATCACATATTGTAGAGGTTACAGCCACATTGCATAAGTGCTTAGTTAAGATAGAAAAAACATTAATTTTATGGGTGGAAGATTTGAAGAAAACTTGTTCTGATTGATGGCCAAGTGTTGTGCCAGAAAGCCTTGAACCTAAACGAAGACTTGTTCCCCTGATATGTGACACCATACCATTTAGTACCAGTAAAGGATGGTTACACAGATTTAGGAATAGTTTTGAAGTGAAAAATCTAAAAATTAATAAGAGAGGACTTGTCTGTGGATGAAGAAGCTGCTGCCACATTTCCAGCACAGTTGAAGAATCTGAATAGGGGGAAGGATATCATCAAAAACAAGTCTTCAGTTGCAATGGAAATAGCCTCTTCTGGAAAGAAATGTCTAATAGAACCTACATTCATAAAAGTGCAAAGGAGACAACAGGGCATAGAACATGGAGGGACAGATTATCTTTGGTGAGTACAGTATTATAAGATATTTTGAGACACACACACACACACACACACACATTCATAAAACTTTATTACAAAATGCTGTTGAAATCGATCTGTTTCATTTTTGTTATTTTTTTTCCTTGGCTATCTGTACTGGGGATTGAACCCAGGGCTCTGCACATGCTAGGTAAGCGCTTTACTATGGAAACAGCCACATTCCCAGCTCTTTTTATTTTGAGACAGCCTCTCCCTAAGTTGTTCAGGCCAGCCCTGAACTTGGAATCCTCCTACCTCAGCCTCCTAAGTAGCTGTGATTACATGGGTACACTACCACACCAAGTGAATTACACTTTTTTWAAAAATTAATTATTGTTAATCTTTTTCTATGCGTAATTTATACATTAAACCTTATTATTGATATGTATATGTAGGAAAAAATATATAGTGTTCAGTAGTCTATACTTTGAAGCATTATTGGAGGTCTTTTAAAAGTATCCCTTGTGAATAAGAAAGGACTAATGTGACAAGGAAATTAGGCAGTGTCAGTAAGCATATATGATCTGTTTGAGAAATCATGTGGCCATGTATGTGCATTGGCTTCAGGTTTTCTTTACAAATGGGAGTATATTTGAAAAGCTTCTACAATTGWATAAAATTTATAATAATTCCTTTTTTCTTCTCCCTGGGCTGAAAACATCTTACTTTTGTATCACTTTTCTCTCTCAAACTTCTAGACTACTCTTTTATCCAGCCTGTATAATACCTATCTCTGTTATAATCCTGGTAGAAATATTTGAATTTAAGTTTCTGGATTTGCAGAGTTTTGTTTTGTTTTGTTTGGGGGCGGGGATGGTCCTGGTAATTGGACCCATCCCTTTTATTATTTTTTTATTTTGAGACAGGATCTCGCTAAGTTGCTGAGGCCTCACTGAATTTAYTGAGGCTGGCCTGGAACTTGTGATCTTCATTCCTCATCCTCCTGAACCCCTGGGATTGCAGGCATGGACCAAGGTGCCTGGCTTCAGAGTTGATTTTTAGTAGTCAAGAAAGCATTAGAAAGTGAGATGGAAGTAGAACATAATTAATTTTATAATAGATAATGACTGAATACTGGTTCCTTGAAAAACTTCTGCTACTCCTGTAATCCTATTTTAGTTTCCCTGTTTTTGTTAGGTATTTACCTATTTGATTTGGTGTTATGAAGCTTATTTGTTTCATACCCCCTTTTTTTTCTTTTTAAAAGCATTCTGTCTTTTTATTCTTCTCAGTCTTTTGACTTGGTCTTTTTAATTATTGTTAGGTGTATCTCCTGCCCTCTGAATTTTCTCTGCAGTTTGTACAACCTTTAGTGACAATTTCATCTCTTCAGCTCACTGTACTCGTTGAACCATATAGTCTAATAAGCCTGTGATGAATTTACTCCATGGGAATCATTTGAATGTTTTTGAGGATGAATGTGACATTTGCAGTGAGATGATGTATTTAGTAGTATTGTACAAGGTGAGTCATGAGAGGTTATTATATTATTGCTGGAGATGAGATAATAGCAGATTTCACAGAAAGTAGCAGTTCAAGTTAAGTGAATCAATTAAAGAAATAAGGTCAATTTTTTAGTTGTTTTGAAGGTAGGTTTCTTAAAATGTCATGTTCATTTGTGCAAMCTTGTTCTATCAAATTACTTTCTGATGGAGGGGCTGGGGCTGTGGTTCAGTGGTAGCGCACTTGCCTGGCATATGTGAGGCRCTGGATTCGATTCTCAGCACCATGTACAAATAAGTAAAATAAAGGTCTATCGACAGCTGAAAAAAAAATTAAACAAGTTAGTTTCTTGGGGGCTGGGGTTGTAGCTCAAGTGGTAGCGCGCTGGCCTGGCATGTGCGAGGTACTGGGTTCAATCCTCAGCACCACATAAAAATAAATAAAGATATTATGTTCACCTAAAATAAAAAGATAAATATAAAAAAAAAAGAAAAATGAAATTAGTTTCTGATGTAAAATATGACCAGTCATGTTTGTGGGTTAATATTGTTAAGGACATAGAATGTATGGTATGATTTTTTAATTTATATTAGGCAAATGTATCCTACACCTGTTCTTTTTTGAAAAAAAAATATATATATTATATATTTATTTATTTATTTTTATGTGGTGCTAAGGATCAAACCCAGTGCCTCACATGCTAGGCAAGCACTCTACCACTGAGCCACAATATTTATTTATTTATTTATTTATTTATTTATTTATTTTTATGTGGTGCTAAGGATCAAACCCAGTGCCTCACATGCTAGGCAAGCACTCTACCACTGAGCTACAACCCTAGCCCTACACGTTTTCTTTTTAAAAATTGAAATATCTTTTGCACTGCTAAAAATGTATAGGTTTCAATTGGTCTGTTGGATGGCTTAAATAATCCTATACACCATGTGACAACCAACAAAGTATATATAATCTTCATTCATCACCCTAGTAGTTCATCTTGCATTTGTGTGTGTTTGTGTGTTTGGCCTTGGGGATTACACCTAGGGCCTCATGACCTTTTGAGACAAGTTCTCTCTAAGGGGCCCAAGCTGACTTGGATTTTTCTTCTTCCTGCATCAGTCTCTCCAAWAGCTAGTATTACTTATGTATACCACCACACTGAATTCCTGTGCTTCTCTTATCAGTTACTTCCCCACTCTTATCCAAGATCTTTCTCTTTCTTATTTCTTTCTCTGAGATCTCACTCTTTCTTATTTTTGTCACTGTAGTTTTGCTTATTTGTTTGTTATCAGTATTACTTTGTTTTATGCCAGCTTCTTTTGTTCAACCTGTATTTTAAAGCTACTTCCACAATGATRTAATGTATTACTTTTTATTATTAAGTAGACTATCATTATAAAATTTGCTTTTCTGTTCTGGTGATGCACATTTGGGTCTTTTTTTTTTTATGTTTGAGTCATAAGATCACTGTAAGTTTTCCAAGTCTTTTGATGGACATATAGTTTTATTTGTCTTGATATTAATATGTAAAAATGGAATTGCTGGAATTTCATTTTAAATTACTTAAGAAATTACCAAATAGTGGTTGTGCCACTTTACACTCTACAGGTAGTGTACCAGAGTTAAAGATGTTTTACAACTTTACTAATAACATTTGATTATTTTTGTCAAAATATTTTAAATATTGCCATTTTCATCTTATTATAGTTTTTATGGGGGGTGGGTTACCAGGAATTTTACTCAGGGCACTCAACCACTGAGCCACACCCGAGCCCTATTTTGTATTTTATTTATTTATTTATTTTTTTTAATTTTTTTTTTAAAGAGAGAGTGAGAGAGGAGAGAGAGAGAGAGAGAGAATTTTTTTTTTTAATATTTATTTTTTAGTTCTCAGCGGACACAACATCTTTGTTGGTATGTGGTGCTGAGGATCGAACCCGGGCCGCACGCATGCCAGGCGAGCGCGCTACCGCTTGAGCCACATCCCCAGCCCTGTATTTTATTTAGATACAGGATTTTACTGAGTTGCTTAGTGCCTCACTTTTGTTGAGGCTTGCTTTGAATTCTTTATCCTCCTGTTTCAGCCTCCCGAACTGCTGCAGTTACAGGCTTGGGCCACGGTGCCCACCAATATCTTATAGTTTTAATTTGTATTTCACTAATAATTAGTGATATTGAACCCCCTTCTGGTCATTCCTACATCTTTGCGAAGTGACTGTTGAAGTTTACTTATATTTGATTAGATTTTTTATCTTGTGTGTGGTTTTCTTTTTTCTTTTTTTTTTTACTTTTTGTTTTTGTTTATTCAGTAAAGGGAGTGCTTTATCTACTTGAGATATACAATCTTTGTCAGATATGTATACTGTAAATATTTTCCCCATTCTAAGGCTCTTAATTGTTTATCTCCCCCCCTCCCCATTTATGTTTGATACTTTTGGGGCAGGAGGAACCAGGGATTAAACCAATGGACACTTAATCACTGAGCCACATTCCCAGCTCTTTTTGTGTTTTATTTAGAGAAAGGGTCTCACTGAGTTGCTTAGGGCCTCAGCTTCCCAAGCTGCTGGGATTATAGTCATACACCACCCCTCCTAGCTATGTTTACTACTTTTTATGTCCTGTTTGAGAAATCTTTGCCTATGCAGTGGACTCAAATATGTTGTCCTTGTGTTTTTTGTTAGAAGCTTTATGATTCTGGGTTTCACATACAAGTCTTTGTTTTAACTTGAATTCATGCGACAGAGTTTCAAAGTTAATTTTCCTCCTATATTGATGTCAAATTTGTCAAGAAAATTCTAGGTATACCACACTTCACTCACTCCTTATTGCTTGCTCAATTTTACACAACCCCCTCTTTGCTTGTGTATGTTATTAGGGATGCAGTCTACCATTGAGCCACAACCTTAACCCTTTAAATTATTTATTTTGAGACAGGGTCTTGCTTAGTCACCCAGGCCGAGCTCAAACTTGAAATCCTCCTGCCTCAGCCTCCTGAGTTGTTATAATTTTAGGTGTGCACCCCTTGTGCCTGGCTCCTTTCTCTCTCTTTCTATGTGTCTCTCTCTGTCTCTGTCTCTCTCTATTTATTTTCTTTTTGTGATGCCAAGGATTGAACCCAGGACTTTGTGCATTCAAGGCAAGCACTCTCCCAACTGAGCTATATCCCCAGCCCCCTCATTTCTGTTTAAACTCTCTGTCACTGTTGATTTTTAGTTTCTCTGGCATGAAGATGGGCATTGGATTTTGACAAGGGGGTAGAATAATTTTTTTTTTTTCCCTATGAGTATGTGCTGCCTTCTGACCTAGTCAGTTTCATTACTGAGATACTATTTGCTTTCAGACATATTATGTCATAAGGTTAAGTCATGATTTAGTTTCATTTTAATGGCCATTTAGTGTGGCCACTTTTTCTGTAGATGGACTAATCAGTAGGTTGGGGAGAGGGTTTAATCTGTTGAAGTAATGCATGGCTTAACACATATTTTCCCTAGACTCAGTGTATAAGTAAATTACTGGCATCTTCCTCATATCATCTAAGGCACTTAGAATATTCTTTTGTCGTTTTCATTCTAAGAATAGATTTTTATTCATACATTTGTTTGTGTGTATGTGTGTATGCGCGCGCGCTTGCTCACTATTATTTCTATTTTAATTGATAAAATTAATGAAGTTGGAAATGAAAATATTTTTCTTGTTCTTTTGACTATAGTTTGGGAATGTTTATTTTATTTTTAGAAATAATGTTATTGTATTTTTTATATATGTATTTTTAAATTATTTATATTTATTTGGTGCTCAGGATTGAACTTAGTGCTTCACATATGCTAGGCAAGCACTCTATCACTGAGCTATAGCCCCAGCCCAAACATTATGTTTATTTTGGTGCACAGCTTTTGGGTGAATGTTAAATGATGAACTAGAAATTTGTTATATAAATAATATATGGATGCTGATTTTCTTTAAATTGTGCAGGTCTGTTTTGTGGATTTGTCTAGGAGTCTTTGATTTTATTTAACTGGATAACTAATATTTCCCCTCTCATTTTATTTGACTTGGTCAGAATTTGGTGTACATTGAACATTAGGAAGTTTGTGTTGTTATGATTTGTTTATTTTAATAAGTGTTCAGAAATTCACAGCTTCATTTTATCTTGTTTTACTCTCAATCTCTGGAAACTTCATAGCAAGAATAATATTGTATTGACTTTTTAAAAAAGATATATATATTTTTTAGTTGTTGGTATATTTTTATTTTACTTATTTATATGCGGTGCTGAGAAACGAACACAGTGTCTCCCACATACTAGGCCAAGTGCGCTACTGCTGAATAAAGTGTAAATTCTTGGTTTTGAGTTTTATTGTTAATATAAATTAATCTGAATATTCTTAAGTTGAAAAGATATTTTATGTTTTAAGACTATTCAATATTCAGAGTCGCTCTAATAGCTATAAATACTATTTTAGGAACATGAATTTAAAATATGGGGTGGAATAGATGAGCTTGATGAGTCTCTGGATACATATTTCTTTTCTACCATTTCATTCAGCAGCATTCTGTATTTGTTTTATGGATGGAAAGGTTTATAAGCTTTACTTTCTTATCATTTTTTTTTTTTTTGAAAAGCCTTTCCCTGTGATGTTTCCTATGCAACTCTTTACTATTACTATGGTATTCTTTACCAAAAACAKCTAGGATATGATATCAAGGACATGGGACAATTCAGATATGAGATATAATATAAAGTGTTTATTTTGCATTCCTTGATAAATCATGTTTTCTTTTTTACTTATTTATAGTGTTATGATGCTGGTCACTTCGAGAATGGCATTTCTAATTCATGTGCTGCATCTCATTTAAAAGAGTTTGTTGGAGGTGAGTATTTTTGATATTTAGAAAATATGAAAGTAAGATTGAAGCACTTTGTTTATTAGGGAAAATAAAATGTTCCAAATTTAAGTTTTGAAACTCCTATGCCCAAAATGTGCTTCTTGAAATTTTGCATGTGGATTGGGGTTGTAGCTCAGTGGTAGAGTGCTTGCCTAGCATGTGTGAGGCCCTGGGTCCGATCCTCGGCACCAAATAAAGATAAATAAATTAAAAATAAAGATATTGTGTCCATTTACAAGTAAATATAATAAAAATTAAAAAAGAAGAAACTTTCGTGAAACTGTAAGATTCTGTAGTCATTTACAGGCTTTTCACTCTTAACAGTTTAAGTTATATTTTGAGCAAGGAAATATTTGGAACAATGGAGAAAAATTTTCTCATTTTTGGGGGGCAGGGGATACCAGGCTCAGCTACTGAGCCTGATACCCAGCCCTGTTTTCTATTTTATTTAAAGACAGGGTCTCACTGAATTGATTTGTACCTTGCTGTTGCTGAGGGTGGCTTTGAACTCATCATCCTCCTGCCTCAGCTTCCTGAGCCACTGGGATTAAAGGTGTGCGCCAGTGCACCCGGCTCCTTCATTTTTTAATAATCTGTCTACCTTGAGTCACTAATTCTTGTCTTGGAGTTTTCTTTTCTTTCTTTCTTTAGGCATTAGACCCAGAGATGCTTTAATACTGAGTTATATGTCTAGATTGTTTTACATTTTTAGACAGTGTCTCACTAAATTGCACAGGCTTTCCTTGAACTTGTGATTCTCCTGCCTCAGTCTCTCAAATTACTGGGAGTACAGGTTTGTCATGCTGTGCCTGGTATATGAATCAGCTCATATTTGTGTAAAGGAGAAGTGGAATCCAAGTTAAGCAGGAGACCACAAATCATCTGGGACAGTCTTTCAAAAACTGTGTTTGTATTTTTAATCACATCTTTGAGCCAATTCTGTTGTTTTCTCTTATGAGCTTTGGGGTCTTCAGACCCCTTCCGAATGATATTAGAAGCTATCTTTTGGAACCTGTACTTGGGTGATCATGATTGTTTACCCAAGCTCTTCATACAGATAGAATGTTCATAAATCGAGCATGTATTGTCTAAATACCTGTGGTTAGACTCTTAATTCTAATTCGTTTAAACTATTACAAAGAGAATATTTTCTATATCATTTTTGTTTTATAGATGAAACATTAAGATGAATCAGGTTGCAGGATTGGGAAACTAAATCCCGATCAAATTCATTGGGACACTATTATCTTTTTGTGCATTCCAGATTTTATCAGTTCTTTCTACCATTTTGATCATTTGTATGCCTAAGCATTTTATGATTAATGTCATTCTCAAAATGTTATCCCAGATTTGAGCATAGTATACCTCATTTGATCTGCCAGTAGAGTACCATGAGATGATTTTATTTCGTGTGGTCTTTGATATATCTTTTAATGTATCCCTTCACCATTAAATTTTTAACAAAGGAATCTATTTTAATCATGTGGGCAATTATAATCCCATTGGTTTGTCACTTTTTTTTTTTGCTTTGTCTTAAGTGCTTTCCAAATGATATCTGTTGTTTTTCTCTATATTTCAGTTTTTTGTACAATGTGTAATGTGAAGTTTATCTTTTGTAAATTTTATGTAGGTATTCTATCTTGTAAGAATTTGGAGCTTAGGCCTGGGGGCTGTATACCTTAGTGGTAGTGCTTTTGCCTACTGTGTTTGAGGCCTTGGGTTCTAACCCTGGCACTGCAAAAAGAAAAAAATAGAAAGGAGTAATTTTTAGGCTGCATCATATTAATTCCTCTTTTAGTTTTGGGTAGTTTGGAGCTCTGATAACAGCTTTTCCATCTCAATCAGCCAGTCAAAATAGATGACACTGAGGCAGTCTTTGAACCAAAGTCTAGCATTTGCATTGATACCTAGCATAAATATTCTGGAACATCTTTAAAATACTCTAGATTTCTTTTGGTGTTACAATGACATGGAGTTGAAATGTGTCTATTAGAAAATGAAGGAGGGACTAGAATTTCTTGTTGTAAATATGCCAAATGAGATTGTGCATTCATTTTAAACTTTTGGATATTAAAGGTTATCCTAACACTGAGTAAAATACCTTAATTTAAGTCATTAAATCTATTGAGGGATCTTTCCCTACCCTCTAAGCCAAATCATATATATGTTCATCTTAATTTACTTAAATCATGTGTTGATAAAGTTTGTTGACTCTAATATTTTAGTCCAGGAAATTAACATCTTTTCCTGACTAGTAAATGGACTTTTCCATCTATGGGATGTGAAAATCCTTAGAGGGAAGTAGAAAGAGTCATTTTAATCTTGTAAAATGAAATTGCTTTAATAACCTGTACATTTATTATTTAATCTCTGTAAGTCAGTACTTACATGTAGTTATTTCCCAAGCTAGTTGTATAGTTGTAGATAACTCCATTTTCTTCTTTTCCCATGTTTTTCTCACCTCTGAATCTAGATCATTAAATGAGTTTTAAAGTTGGTTTTTATTCTAATCTACCATAATTGTCTTAGGTCTCTTTATGTAAGGATTGTTGTTCTTGAATGTGTTTGATTAGCCATTAGGTAACACTTCTTTTCCTGTCTTAGGCACTACCAAGATATTTGATAAGCCAAGAAAGCGAAAACGACAGAGGCATGTTACAACTAAAGTGCAGTGTAAAAAAGTGAAAAATGATGACTCATCAAAAGGAATTCCAAACTCAGAGGTATTACTCAGTTCCTGATCTTTTGACATTGTGAAGAGAAGCTACTTTTCACAGTAGAGGCCACATCCCTCTCCCTCAAGTTTACTTAACAATAGTATTTTATTGAAATGGCTAATAGGCATAAGGAATTCTAAAGTGGAATGAGAGCCTGATCCTAGTAAAGTAAATTAAGGAGATGACCTTTTAGAAATATCATATCCTATGTTGTAGACATCAGATGAAATATATAATTTTTTTTTATTAATTAAATCCATTCTAAAACCAGAGAGCACAATATCAAGTAACCATATGATATGAGTGAACTTAGATAATGCCCTTTACAAGTTGAGACTGCTGCTATTAGGGGACAGTTACTTATTTCTTGGCCATCAGTTGCTCAATTTTGGGATAATATTTAACAAAATTGCCTTTCAAGAAACAAAGGTAGAGCTGAGGATATAGCTCAGTGGTAGAGGGCTTGCCCAGCATGCATGACACCTTGACTTCCATCCGCAGCACTGCAAAGAGACAAACAGATTTAAAACCTTTTTCTTGCAGAGCCCTGAGCTAACTGACTTTCCAACTTAAGTTTAAAGAGAATTAGAATCAGTCAGGTCAGCATCACATATTATGATGCAGAGTGTTTCTTTCCAGACAATTTGAATAGAATGCCCAAGGTGGGCATTATTTAGGAAACACTGATCTTGGAAGGACAAATAAGTAATCAAATAAACTTAAGAATGTTTTCTCTCCCTTAGTGAAACCTTTAAATGGAACAGCTCAAAAAGTTCCAGTGGAACAGCCTCAGAGCAGTTAGTGGCAGGGCATGAGGCGCCCACTACCCGCCCAATCACAGCAGGGTTAGAACTAACATTGCATGCAGTCCGCCCGCGTGATTGGCTGAACATCTGTAAGTGCTTAATGGCTAGACAAATAGCAGGCCAGAGGGAGGGGGTCAGATGGAGGAGACATCAATAATACAGGTATGGAATATTATTTTTTTCTCTGCAAGGGAGAACTGATGACTCACAGGACGGATGCAACTCCCAAGGAGACTGTTGAGGAGGGTGTAGAACATGACTCTGGAATGTCTGCATCTAAAAAAATGCAGGGTGAACGAGGTGGAGGAGCTGCCCTCAAGGAGAATGTTTGTCAGGTAGAGAATGTTTGCCCACTTACATTTTCTTTTCATGATTATCTTAAGAGAACGCCTCCCTATCTCTGAATGACCTTATTGTGGTTACAAAAAATGAGTTTGAATGATTCCAGTGGAGTTACTTTAAGGCCATAACTCTTTTTTCTTTGACAAAAAGAGGAAGGAAAAGAAATAATTCCCTGTTCATCACCTTTCCCTGTGGCCCATGAGTGTATGTCCTTTAGCAGGTCTGAGATGAAGAATGTGAATTAATTTGTGAAACATAATTTTCTTGAGGTGCAACCTGTCATAGTGTGGGTATCTTAGGGTTTCTAAGGGATTTTTCCAGGGGCTATTTTAGCTTTTTTTCTTAAGTAGTGACTTTGAAAATATCACTATATTTTCCCATTTATTTAATAAATATATATATTATTGGCTATGTATCAAGTCTTATTCTAAACACTTTATAAATATTTATAAATATTTCATCATTTAGTAATATGACATAATAATCTCATAAGATTGAGTTCTGTTATTAGCCCCTTGTTGCAGATTAGGAAACAAAACTACAGAGAGCCTAAACAGCTTGCCTGTAGTCCCACACTAAAGCTAGTATTCAGATCTAGGCAATCTAAGTTTAGAGGTCTAATAATTGTGCTGTATTTCCTCTCTGAGATGCGTCTACCTTATTGTTTAAGAGCCTTTTCTGACTTTTGGATTAATCCATTAAACATATGCTTTAGGTGTGCTATTGTTTTATAGACTTAATGATCCATTGATGCATATTCTTAAAATGTCTCATAAAATCTTAATATGAGACTTATTAATTTTTCCTTCCTATACTGGGGATTGAACCCAAAGGCCCTCTGTAACTGACACAACCCCAGCCCCTTTTATTTCATCTTGAGACAGAGTCAGTGGGATTATAGGTGACAAAAACCATGCACTGCTCAAATACATACATATATAATTTGAATTGAAACAACTCAAATATAAACCCAGATTCAGTATAAGTTATTGTAGTCATTACAATTTTATGCCAGGTTTTTTTTTTTTTTTTTTTTTTTTTTTGCCTATTCACTTTCCCTATTGTATAAAGAATGCTTCATTGTATTTGGACCAGCTCCCAAACAGTGTTAATCCTCAAGGACAGTTATCTTCATTATTTATTGGAGTAAGACAAGTCAGAGTGTAAATATGTTTTACAAAGATTGTCAAAAATTAAATAAGTATCCAGGTGCTGTAATCCTAGCGGCTCAGAAGGCTGAGACAGGAGGATCATGAGTTCAAAGCCAGCTTCAGCAAAAGTGAGGTGCTAAGCAAATTAGAAAAAATACAAAATAGGGCTGGAGATGTGACTCAGTGGTGGAGTGTTCCTTAGTTCAATCCCCAGTACCAAAAAGTAAACAATCAAACAAATAAAAGTATTGTGCCTGTGTGGTCCTGAACTGTTTGGATCAGTGTGTAAATTGATGTTGTGATTTGATAATTTACTATTCATCCCCTTTCAGTCTCAAATATCCCAGTATAAAAAGAAAAATTACATGGGTTAGTTATAACATTTAGTTAATTTTTAAAATGTATTATTTGGTTTATACTGTAATTGAAAATTTCTTATTTAAGCTGTTTGTTTATAGAAAAATTGTCATTGGAATTTTGTGTATATAAAGCAGAATGTATCATATGGTGGTGTTGAATTTATGTGTGTGAATGAATTGTAGATATTTGGAGAGTCAAACATTTGAGAACAACCCATGTTACAGGTTGGTTAAGGCCCTGGGGACCCCTTTCAATCTCAAGCTGCCTCTGTAGCCTTGCTTCCCAAAGCTTTCCTGTTCATTTGTTTGTTTCTGCTTTGATGTCCTTAAGTGGCCAAAACCATTTTTCCCCCCATTGTACTGGGGATTGAACTCAGGGGCAGTGTACCACTAAGTTATATATCTAGCCCTGTTCATTGTTTATTATGAGATAGAGTCTTGATAAGTTGTGGAAGCCAGTCTTGAATTTGGAATCCTTCTGCCTCTGCCTCTCAGGTATCTGGGATTACAGGTGCATGCTACCATGCCTGGCATCTTTTATTTGCTTAGTTACTTTTCCTCTTTCTTACTAACATAATTATAGTCAGCCGGTGGATGGAACATATTTGGGGAATAAAAAATGTTAYAGTGCTCCTGATATATACTGTATAGTTCACCCCATAATTATTGGGTCTGTACTGAGCATATATAGAATTTTTTTGTCATTATTGCCTTAACAATACAAAGGAATATTTATATAGCTATTTTAAATAATGTAAAATTTCAGTAAAATATATGGGAAGAATGTGCATAGGTTATATGCAAATTCTATATGCCATTTTATAAGGGCTTGTTTTTTTTTTTTTTTTTTTTTAAGCCCCAGCCCAGTATTGTTTTGCATTAGGGATTGAACCCACTGACCTATGTCCCCAGCCCTTTTTATTTTTTATTTTGAGTTTTATTTTTTATTTTAAGTTTCCCAGGCTGGCCCTGAACTTTTGATCTTCCTGCCTTAGCCTCCCCAGTTGCTGGGGTTATATGCATGTGCCACCACACCTGGCTGTATAAGGGTCTGGATCATCCACAGATTTTGGTATCTGTGGGTAGTCCTGATTGATTGTGTAAGGCTTTCTTATGTATTTATTTATTTACTACTTATCACTATGGAGATGTAAATCAGGGTTTTAATATGTTGAAAGTACTGAATGTTGGGAATTTGCAGTCTTCATAAATCTAACATTGTATTTGTAGTGGCAGATGTAGGTCCTCATTTCTCACACCATTTCTTTAAGTGACAACCTGCCTTAAGTGAGTTCCTTTCAGAATGTGATCTCTCTGAGGTGGTTCTAGATGTGTCTTAACAGGTTGCTCAGATCATGCTAGGATCTATCTCAGTATCTCTTTCTCTCCCTCTCCTACCTTTTGGTATTGGGGATCTAACCCAGAGCTTCACACATGACAGACCAACACTCTACCACTGAGCCTCATCCCCAGACTGCTATCATCTCTTTTTGTACAATGCATGACTCATGTCTAGCTGACCAGTATTATTCACTTGCTTAAACTACTGCATTAGCCTTCTGGTTTCTCTCTTTGTTCTAACCTTTTTACTCTTTAATTCATTGTTCACATAACAACCAGAGGGATGTTTTTAAAAAATGAACACTTGATTTCAGGCTTTTCTTTAGAGTTCTGCAGTGGTACACGTTCACAATTAGAATAAACTCTAATAAATTAAACAGGTCCTTGTCTTTCTTGTACCTTACTTCTGCCACTTGTAACATTTTTTCACTTTTTATCACTAACAGTGGCTTTCTTTGTAATTCCCAATATACCATGCTTTTTCTTTGTGGACTTGTATATTTGCTGTGGTCCTGGACCTTGCGTCAGATCTTCACATGACTGACTTGTCCTTCATAGGCCAGTAGGAGAGGTCATCCCTAATCAACCAAAGTAGATATTGGAATTCTCTATATAATACTAATTATTATCTTATATATTTCCTGTTTGTTTAAATTATTTGCTTGTTACCTTCTGTCCCCATAATATAAGATGTATATGAGACAGGAATCTGTAGTGCCTGGCACATAAGAGGTAATTATTAAAAAATGGTTGAATTAATGGTGAAATTTCTTGTTGTTGTTTTTTTCCCAAAGCTATTTCTTAACCTTTGGCCTCATGAGGGCCTTCCTTTAGGGGTTTTCTCAAACCTTTTCGTATAGACAGATCTGTTTTCTTTCCTTAACAGAACTGTGAGAAACTTGGTGAGCTGCTCTTATGTGAGGCTCAGTGCTGTGGGGCTTTCCATCTGGAGTGCCTTGGCTTAACTGAGATGCCAAGAGGAAAATTTATCTGCAATGAATGTCGCACAGGTAAATCAGATATAGAAGAGTATTTTTCTGAAGAGTTTTAAGTTTTTCRGGGGAAATAAAATGTATTGGAGACACCATCTGGTGGCATAGGGCTGGGCACTACACATATATAAATATGTGCTTTGTTGCTCCCCTCAGTAAAGGTGAGGGCTGCGGTTGTAGCTCAGTGGTAGAATACTAGCTTAGATGTGTGAGGCTCTGGGTTTGATCCTCAGCACCACACACAMAAAAAATAAATAAAATAATGGTATTGTGTTCATCTACAACTAAAAAGAAAAGCATACCAGGTGAATAGTAAGTGAAGAGTTTCATGCCTTACAGAAAGGTTTATAATTGAAATGTGTTTTAAATATGTTGTGAACAAAGATGATCTAAATCCAAAGGAGAAGATATATAAGTTTAGTTTTGAGAGAGAAAGATTGCTGGGACCTGTGGTGTATGCCCATAATCTCAGCAATTTGAGAGGCTGAGCCAGGAGGATCACAAATTCAAGCCATCCTCACCAACTTAGTGAGGCCATCAGCAACTAGCAAGACCCTGTATCAAAAAATAAAAGGGTTGGGGATGTAACTCAGTTGTAAAGTACTCCTGGGTTCAATTCTCAGTACCAAAAATTAAAAAATAAATAAAGAGAGGATAGAGAGAGAGAGAATGAAATTGTAGGGGAAAACAAAGGCACAATATCTGGTATTGAAAGTGCCTGAAGTACTTGGGGAGTTGGTGTATATGCCTGTGTTTCTAAAGGTTACGTAAGATATTTTAGTTCAGAGATGTAGTGTGTTTCTAGGTTACTAAAGGTGTTTTCTATTTCTTAATCTGGGACTTGATTGTGTAAACATTCACTTCATGGCAGTTCATCAATAGTATACTTAAGATGTGTGTACTTTTCTTTGCATGTGTTGTATAATAATAGAAATGTTTGTCAATAAAAGAAAAAGATTATGTGGAATAGTTATGTTGGTTTAGAAAATGGGAAATCAGCCTATAAAATACTTCATAAGCTATGCTAAGGAAAGTTCTCTTCAGCATGATATTTAGATATTATAGCATTTAAGCAGTGAAGGAATGAGTATAGATTTTATATTTACAAACCATTGAAATCTCTGAAAGTCTCTCTGAATGATGCTGTCCAAAGTGAAGGTATCTGTGGAATGAGATAAGAACCAATGACAATCTCTGAGGATATAGAGTTATATCTATACTCTATAGCTGTTGGGAGTGTGAAGAGGTGCTAATCAGTATCTGCTAAACCACCAGAGTGGGGTGTCATTAATAGGGGTAGATTTAACAAAGATACCCAGGAGGTTTTGGAGTAAAAAGACACTTTTGTGGGCTGGGGTTATGGCTCATCAGTAGAGCATTCTCCTAGCAAGTGCGAGGCCCTGGGTTCGATCCTCAGTACCACATAAAAATAAATAAATAAAGGTATTATGTCCAGCTGCAACTAAAAAAAAAAAATTAGAAAAAAGAGAAGGGCCTGGGGCTGGGGTTCAATGGTAGAGCGCCTGCCGTGTACATGTGAGGCCCTGGGTTTGATCCTCAGCACTACATAAAAATAATAAAGATATTGTGTCCAACTACAACTAAAAAAATATTTTTTAGAAAAGAAGCTTTTGCATTTGGCAGTGAGAAAAGTACTTGGCTTTCAAAGAGGCTGCCATGCTACACCATGTTGAAAGATCAATGGGTGACAGTCTATATTACTTCTTAAATAAGCTTGACTTCAATTGAAAGGAATGTAGTACCTGAAGGAAGGATATCACAGKGTCAAGGGAAGGGCCATCTTGCGTGTAGGGTGAGGGATCTAATGTAGTGTAGAAAAAAACACAGGACAGGAAATAAGAGTGAAGTACAGCCACAGAGAAAGGAAGGTAACAACAAAATTTAATTGTGTCRTGGAGTTGTGGGGCTCTGGGAGGAAGCTAAAGAAGTTATTTCTTGGCTTGGGGAGAATGAAGGGAAAGGTTATTGTTTCTGACTTGAATGGTAGAGAAACTTTATAGTACCCCCAAAGGGACACAATCAGCAATTTCATGTCTTTGTATAGATAAGCTATGTCAAATTGAGGAGCCAATCAGTTTGGGGCAGCTATTTCATTTTCTCACAGTCACTTTGATCAATGTTGGAGAAAAAGTTGGAAGACTTTGGGGACTTTGATCATTATGGGAAATAGTGTCATCCAGACCTATTAATTAAATTTAAAAAAAGTTATTTATTTATATGTTTGCATACTTATCCTAATCTTAGTAAAGTCTTCTTGCCCTTTGTGTCAATAATCTAGATTTGTTTGTCTTATTATCTTTATCAACGTGTAATAGTCTCCGAACAGGTTGATTTAACATAATCTTGATTATCTTTATTGAATTTCATCAAAGTGAAATGAAGTGCTATAGTCATATCTGACTTAGCATAATAATACCTTTGAGACTCCTCTATGTTGTTGAATATGTCATTAATTCATTCTCTCAGTTCTACTGAGGTATAATTGATGTAAAAAAAAGATCATGTATTCAAAGTGTATGATTTGATAAGCTGTGATATGTGTATGTATTTGYATGTGCCTCCGAAACATAACTCAGCATTATTATTTTGAGATTTCATAATGTTGTGTATCTTGATAATCCATTCCTTTTTACTGTTGATTAGGATTTCATTGTGTGTATTTACTACAGTTTGTTAATCCATTCATTTATTTGATGGATATTTGAGTTGTTTAATATTTGGGCTATTACAAACTAAGCTGCCATGAACATTCAAGTCTTCCTATGGACACATTTTCTTTTGTCCTGTATCAATACCAAAGAGTAGAATGACTGAATCATATGATAGTGGAAACCTCAAATTGTTTTCCTAGGGTTGCAACATTTTATATTCTCATTAGCAGTTTATTTTAGCATTCGGAAGTATGTTTATACACCTTTGAGATTTTAATTTGTGGTGTTCTAAAGAATGAGGTTGTAGATGGACACAATATCTTTATTTTATTTGTTTTTATTTTTATGTGGTGCCAGGGATCGAACCCAGTGCCTTACCCATGCTAGGTGGGCGCTCTTCCACTGAGCCACAAACCTGGCCCCGGTTGTAGCTTTTTTAATGTGCTTATTTGACATCCAGTTCTTTGATGGGGGGTGATAGAGTTTGCCAAGAACACATCGGACCCTGGTTTAATCCCCAAAATTTTCTGGCCACCATACCTCCCAGTTCAAAGAAATGAAGGGTTTAGTCAGATTTGGGGGGGGGGGGTTCCTACTCTTTGAGTTCTAAGCATTTTTTTTTAAATTCTGATATATTCTGGATATAAATCCTGTATCAGATATGTACTTTTCCAAATAGTCTCCCAATCTGTAGATGACAGTACTAGGGATTTAACTCTGGGCCTATCACATGCCAGGCAAGCACTCTCCCTTTGAGGTATATCCCCAGCCACATATATAAGTGTGTGTGTGTGTGTGTGTGTGTGTGTGTGTGTGTGTGTAAAATGATCAAGTCAGGATAATTGGCGTATCTATCACCTTATATAGTCATCATTTCTTTGTAATAATATCATTTGAAATTCCTTCTTCTGGTTTTGTTGTTGTTGTTTAAATAAACTTCACCTTATTGTGAACTGTGGTTATCACCCTTCTCTGTAAGAAAACATCAGATTTATTCCCTCCTGTCTAATTATAAGTTTCTGGTTTTTGTTTGTTGTTGTTTTGTTACTATCTGTTCATGTTTACTGACCTTTCCTCATCCTCTCCCTTTTAGGATGTCCCCTGTGGCTCTATTCTCTACTTTTTTAAGGGCAGCTTAATTAGATTTTATAGGAGTTGGTTGCCAATATTTGTCAATCATTGTCTGGATTGTTTACTTTATATAATGTCTTCCACTTCCATTCATGTTGTCATTTTTCATGATATAGTTGTGTATATATACCACATTTTCTTTATCCATTCATTTGTGGATGGACATATAAGTTGATTCCATATTTTGAATATTATATATAGCATGGCAATAATGGCACAATAATCCAAACAATTTGAGAGGCCAAGGCAGGAAGATCCAAATTCAAGGCAAGAGCCTATCTCAAGGCTGGAGATGTAGCTCAGTGGTTCAGTCCCCATTTCCAAAACATTTAAAAAAAGAAAAGAAAAAAAAGTAAACACAGGAGGGCTGACACCTCTTCACATATTGATTTTATTTCCTTTGGATATCTTACAGTGGAATTCTGGGATCATATTGTAGTTCTGTGTAATCTTTAAAAAAAAWTTTTTTTAGTTGTACACAATTTTATTTTTTCTTCGTGCTGAGKWCCGAACCCAGTGCCTCTCACATGCTAGGCGAATGCTCTACCATTGATCCACAGCCCCTATATTTAATCTTTTGAGAAGCCTCCATAGTGTTTTTCGTAATGTTCTAGTTTACATTCCCATCAACAGTGTGTAAAAGATATTTTTTCTCCTACATTCTTGTCAACACTTAACCTTTTGTCCCTTTTTCACCTCCTGTGCTGGAGATTGAACTCAGGACCTCATGTATTTTAGGCAAGTACTCTACCACTGAGCTATAATCTCAGCCTTTCCTTTTGTCTTAAATAATAGCCATTCTAGAATGTGAAAAGATTTGTCATTGTGGCTTTGATTTATACTTTCCTGAGGCTTAGGTCTATTGCCCTTTTTAAATTTTTTAAATTTATTTTTTAAAATATGCTCTTTTTAAATATTTTTTAGTTGTAGTTGGACACAATATTTTATTTATTTTTATGTGGTGCTGAGGATTAAACCCAAGACCTTGCACTTGCTAGGTGAGCGCTCTATCACTGAGCCACAAACCCGGCCCCTTTTTTAAATGATATTTTTGTCTTTTCTATTGAATTGCTTCAATTCACATATGTTTGCAAATATTTTCTTCCATTCATTAGGTTGTTTTTTCACTCTTGACCATTTCCTTTGCTGAGAAGAAGCCTTTTAGTTTAATATAGTCCGATTTTGCATTTGTAGTTACCTGTGCTATTGGGGTTA